GTTTATTTATTTTTGGGACAGAGAGAGACAGAGCATGAAGGGGGGAGGGGCAGAGAGAGAGGGAGTCACAGAATCGGAAGCAGGCTCCAGGCTCTGAGCCATCAGCCCAGAGCCCGACGCGGGGCTCGAACTCACAGACCGCGAGATCGTGACCTGGCTGAAGTCGGACGCTTAACCGACTGCGCCACCCAGGCGCCCCAAAAAAAATTATTTTAAAAACGCATCCATCAATATTCATATACACACGGGGTATTGTTGGGAGAGTCGTAAGAAACTGGTACTGACGGGAAACAGAAAGTGGGCTGACAGGACACTCACCGGTCAGAAGATAGATCTACTTTTCATTGTATCCCTTTCTGTATCTCGTGAATCCAGTACGATGTTTATTATCTATTTAAAAACAAACAGACTTTTAAAAAGCCGCGATGCTGTAAAACACGGCGGCCGTGTAAACGTCCCTGACGTAACCTTCACAAACAAGTACTGCGTGCGGAACGGACACGGGCCGGGACTGCGCGTCTCCTCCTCCTCCGGCCTCGGTGACAGCCGTCAAAATTCTTGAGTATTGGGGCGCCTGGGTGGCGCAGTCGGTTAAGCGTCCGACTTCAGCCAGGTCACGATCTCACACTCCGTGAGTTCGAGCCCCGCGTCGGGCTCTGGGCTGATGGCTCAGAGCCTGGAGCCTGTTTCCGATTCTGTGTCTCCCTCTCTCTGCCCCTCCCCTGTTCATGCTCTGTCTCTCTCTGTCCCAAAAATAAAAATAAACGTTGAAAAAAAAAAAATTTTAAAATTCTTGAGTATTAAGCGGAAGATCAGATCGTTAGGAGACGAGCAAGGGTCTTGTCAGGGAGACTGAACACGGACTAGTGATCCACGGGTGTCCCTGCGCACGCCGTGCCCGGCCACCGACGGCTCCATACAACCTGCCTCCAGGCCTGCAGCTCGCTCAGCACGGGCGGTAGGCACGCGGCCTCGAGGGCCTGGCCCCGGAGGCTCCCTGGTGCCCCCTCTTTGCCTCGGCAGGTGGGCCTCTCATCCTTTGTGGCCAAAACACCCCCTCGGATGCTTTCGCTAGAAATACTCCCGTGATGCCTGCTCCACGTCCTTTCTGAGGAAAGCTAAGTCAGCCTGGGGCTGGGAAGTCTGAAGAAACGGGAAGGGGAACCTGACCCTGACTCTGGAGACACACTAGAACGTTCTGGCACTGTGTCTTTTTCCGGCACAATTGGCAGCTTCTCAGGTCACTAGGGGAGTCGGGAATACAAATACTACCTTTTAAAAACTGGTGACAGGATTTAGTTTTAAGGTGCAGTGGCCAACTGAGTTAACGGTCAAAGCCCTCTGTCACCTGTCACATTTACAAACTGGTCATAGCAAGTTAAGTAACCATAAGGAAGGAAAAGTCACACAAGCCCTTGCAAAACTTTTAATTATAAAAAAGTGTTTTACACGGAGAAACTAGACTCATCGTGATCGTTTCACAGTGTGTACAAATACCATCACTATGTTGTACTCATGAAACTAACACATCATGTGTCAATTATAATTCAAAAAAAAAGAGCAACAGTAAAAAAGAAGTGTTTTTAAAAATGTATCCACTCAAATTAATTTAATCAGAATTCCCAGTTTAAGTTTGTTCCATTCTACAGAGCATAAATATTAAATGCTTAGAAAACAGACTTCATTTGAAATGCTTTAAATACAAAACATACAATTCAAGCATAAAACAATGCATTATGATCTCATGAATACATTACAAAACACAGTGATGAAAAATCAACAGCTTCAGATAAGTAGATAATACTATACAAAGGCTTGCCCAACACGTGACATTTCAACACAGGAACGGAAAAAACACAAGCAATGTCAGTTAGTGTTACTCTTAGCAGTACTACACGAGATTCCAAATTCCACTGGCGGTATTAAAGTTAAATTGCTTTCTAATCTGGATCAAGAATAGCACAAAGTCTTTAGAGTACTTAAGTTAGAAAACCGACTTCCCATTGGCAACATGACCTTTAAAATACGCCAACAGGGCAGACCCCGAGTCACAGCGTGCGGACACCCACGCCACACCCTTCTCCCGACAAACGTGCGGCTCTGCTGGCCGGGGCACTCGCCTGAGAGACCAGAGACCGGCCGTCTGGCTCAACGACAAGTGCACAAGATCAGGCCTCTCGTATCTCACATAAGATCCAAGAACAAACACATTCAACAAAAAAACCTAACCTGTGTGCTTCTGTTTCCTTTAAAAAAAAAAAGTATCAGGTTTTTAGCCCATAAGGGAAAATCCACTGTTGACAAGTGTCTCAGCTGGACTCGTCTGGTCTCTCAGCTGAAAGGGTGCAGCACAATAGCCACGACTTTGTTACAGACTAAAATCCAACAGGTGATTCCAACACCACCTAGAAACCAAGAAATTCAACATCAGAGAGCATGCCAACAGTTCTGCCCGTATTTCCGGCCTCTGCTACCTTTAATTTACAGGAACCCAACTCTTTCTCAGCAGTGCTAGGCTACGAAAAACTCAGACTGTGTCTCCTGGATTCAAACTCATCAGACCTGATTCACAGGCTGCCTCCTTCATTCAGTAAGAATCACACGAATTGGCAACGATGCGAATTTCTTTCCTGCCAGAAAGGCGTGTTGTTACTTACGACATTAATAAATTAGAAAACCACCCTGTAAGAAAGACTATTTGTTTTTCCTTCTCAAAATACTGTTATAAACTAGGCCATGTCTACCCTTGCCGTTCATGCCCAGGTGAAGACGAAGCAATAGGAAAGCAGGCTGCAAGAGTGCCCGTGGCCCCCGAGATGCCGGGGCCTCGTGCTCTCCTGCTCAGCGGCCCTGAGAGCCCACCAGCAGTGCCCACAAGGCTGGGGGGAGGGGAGGGGCAGAGGGAGAAGGATGCGGTGAAATTGGAATCTTTGGGAACGGTCACTCTTTTTCACTCAGTAAATTACTTCCAGCGTGATCACAAAACACAACCAAAGGCTGGCGGGCAAGGATGCACGTTGCATAACCAGACTACGACAGTAAAAAATTAGGACCTAAACAAATATCTTTAACAGAGAAATTAATGAAGAGCAGTTTTTTGAAATTCCTTAAAAAGTCTACTGATACGGGAAAGGGTTTACAATATAAAGTAAAAGGGGATATAAAGTTACATGTACCAGACGACTTTAATTGTATAAAACAAATAGAAAATAAGACTGGAAAAACATACCACAAAGTTAAGAGAAGTTATCTATAGCCCATGAGATGGTTTTAAAATTGTTCTTGTATTTCTCATCATTAATGATATGTACTGCTTTTAACATCCCAAGGATGTTACCTTTCAAAAATAAAAGAACAGCCAATAGCAGTAAATGCTGGAGAAATGCCAAGCGTGAGGAACGAAGAGAGGTCCACAGAATCTAGGGACTAGAGATGGGCGTTTCAGTGAACAGGGTATCAAACTCAAGGAGTGGACCTCGATTCTGTAAGCAGACTGGACAGAGAACTCTAGCACTCCTACCGAACATGCCGGTGACGCTGGCCACGGCAGGTAACTTCTCTAGGCCTGTTTCTTCACCGTGAGCCTGCTGTGAGGCCCAGACACCAAGAACTGCTCACTAGTGAATGGACGAGGTGGGGGTTACTTCACCTCGTACCCCACATGTCCATATTCTTCCCCTGGGATTTCCAGAAAACTCTTACCTGCTACTCTGGTAGGAAATGCTACCAGGCGGTCTAGTGGAGTTATCCATTTACTCGGTACCACGGCCACAGGGACAGAGTAGTATTTCCAAATGAGCGACACCATCAGGGCAGCCTGCAAAGACACTGCCGGTGAGCGGACAACCTACCAGTGACACAACCAATAACCAAGAAAGACGAGAAACACGCAAACATACTAAGGAAACTCTCCAAACCGATGAGGTCAAGCCCTATCAATCAGTCCTCGCAGGAAACAGACCCAGACATACAGCCACTAATTTCCGCTGGCGGCACCCTGAAATAGTGTCTAATTAGAGACTCGTCCACAGGACATTGGCACGCACTGCTGCCAAGTGGGGCAGCCTTCTGTGAGCTGGCATTTTACTGTTTTAATATGAATAACAAATACGCACTATTAAATTAGCTGATAAATCAACCCGGGTCCCGCATAACGAAGGGGTTCTTTCCTCATGGAGCATCTCCTTTAAGTAGCCAGACTATGATAAACACACCTTATTAGTGACAAAAGTGATCTCACGCCTCTGTGATCCTTGGAAAGCCAGTCGATCTCCCACCCACACACAGTGCTGGCCTCTACGCGTGGAGGGAGCCCAGGGAGTCTACACAGTAGGCAGTGAAGCAGCATCCCTTCGGTTGTCCTCACCCATTTCGTGGCTTTGAATCAGCCACTCGAACGAGCGACCATAAAAGAGGGAATCTGGCTCAATTCCTGCCCTCGGGAAACCAGCCAGTGTCACAGTGACAATGCCTCGGGGTGAGTACTTAAATGTACCCAGACAACCTGGGCTGTGTGGGGCGGGCCCAAATCCCTTCCCCAGTGAGGACCACGTGTAGCGCCGAAACCCAGAGGTCACTGAAGGCAGCCGCTCGTGCGTGCGCAGCACATCCATGACCTCAGAGTATCGCAGCAGAAGCAGGGGTTCCACAGGAACCTTCCGACCCCAGACAGGAAAGCTGGGAATCAATGGGCTGGACTTTAACGAGAACACGGCCCCCCCCCCCCAACCCGGAGAGCGGGCAGTCACTTCCACGTCCACACACCACACAACAGCCAGCGACCCAAACCGGC